CTATGTGTCCACATGGAAAAATGATTAGGATATAATCTTAAGAAAGTAAGTTACAAATCAGTATGTATTATGAACTAAGACGTACAGATGGAGATATAGAGAATAGAGATACATCAAAATTTTAGCAGTGAATATGTGGGGGAGTAGGTGATCTATCATTTTATTATTCTTTATATACTTTTTGGAGTTTTTTTTTTCCCCAGTAAACGTATCTTTTATAATCAGAAATTTAGAAAAAATACAATATAAATATTTCAAAATTTTGGGAGTGAACCTAGAAGAAGTATCTAATACATATTTGAGATCAGGGAAATTTCTTAAACAAGGTATTTAGAGAGCTGTCTTGAAGGTGTTGGCCAGTTTTAGAAGCAGTTGGAGTGGCTAAGGGACCGCTTGAGTATCTGTGAGGAGGTTTCTGAGAAACTGCAAAGTGTTCCTTGAAAGGCAGAGTGCGGGGGCCGGCCCCATGGCGTAGCGGTTAAGTGCCTGTGCTCCACTGCTGGCGGCCCGGGTTCGGATCCCAGGCGCAAACTGTCACACCGCTTGTCAGGCCATGCTGTGGCGGCGTCCCACATAAAGTGGAGAAAGATGGGCACGGATGTTAGCTCAAGGCCAGTCTTCCTCAGCAAAAAGAGGAGGATTGGCAGATGTTAGCTCATGGCTGATCTTCCTCACAAAATAAATAAATAAATAAATAAAAATGTTTTAAAAAAAAGAAAAGTAGAGTGTGAATGGAGGCTGGAGATGAGGGTGGAGGGTGGCAAGGGATGAGACAGGAGACTTTTTAGGTCATGACAAGTCCACAAAAGGCCACGTACACCTCCATGAGATTGACTTTATCTTGAGGATAGTGGGAAATTCTGAAGGAGCAGCATAACCAGACTTGTATTTAAGAAGTAACACTTGTCAGCTGTGTAGAAAGTGGCATGGAAGCAGGCAAGGCTAGGCTCAGGGCGGCCTCAGAGTAATCCAGACAATTGATGATTGCTGGAACTCGGGTACTGGCAGGATAGAGGTCTTGTTCACTGTCAGCGTGGTACCTATTAGGCGCTGGATACATGACTTTTTGAATGAATTAAATGAAATTTCCCCCCATTCCTTTAAAATCTCAAATGCCAGAATGATCACAGATTCAACGTAGAGAAGGAATTGGTAACATCCTATTTGTTAATACAAACTCAGTCTCTGTCAGTTGTAATGAAGTGATTTTTAAAGCTCTTGAGAATTCTGGCAATACTGATGACTGAGGGACTAATTTTCCAGAAATAGGGGAGGTGAGAGGGCAATAGAGGTCATCACTGCGTGGAGAGCAGGGACTGTGTTAAAATCTCTGAGGCTCGGTTTCACAATAATACCTTATATTCTTAGCTATGTATCACAGTTTACATAATTCTCTAATAATATATCATTTACCTACCTAAAGTCACAGAGGAGGTGATGTTTGAACTGGGCCTTAGAAGGTAGTACAGATAGAAACGGTGGAAGAGAGAATGACATGAGCAAAAGCCTAGAAGCACAAACTTTTTTTTTTCCCAAGAACGTTGAAATGGATTTGGTGCAGACTGTGAAGAGCCTATTAAAAAATAAAACAAAATTTTAAAAACATACAAAGCTCATGAGAAAAATGTTCAGAGACTATGAAAAGACAAGGCATGAAATATAAGTGACCATTTGTCTTAGTCCATTTGAAATACTATAACAAAATACCACAGACTGGGTGGCTGATAAACAACAGAAGTTTATTTCTCATGGTTCTGGAGACTGGGAAGTCCAAGGTGCCGTGTCTGGTGAGAGCCCACTTCCTGGTTCATAGATGCAACTCTTGCTGTGTCCTCACATGGTAGAAGGGGTGAGCTAGCTCTCTGGCTTCTCTTTTATAAGGACACTAAACCCACTCACGAGGGCTCCACCTTCGTGACCTAATCACCTCCCAAAGGCCCCATTCCTAATACCATCACCTTAGGGGTTAGGATTTTAACATATGAATTTGGGGGGGCACAAACATTCAGACCATAGCACCATTAAACTTAAGAAAGGACACAGCCTCACTCATGATAAATTAAAGTTACAGAGATACCATTTTTAACTACTGGATTAGCAAAGATAAAAACGTTTGATAATACATTGCATGGGTGACTATCAATGTATTATCAGTGTGGGGAAACTAGCACCTGAAACTCCCCTATAGTACCCATGGGATTGCAAATTGGTTCAAAATCTAGGAGTGGCAATTACAAATTTATAAATGCACATGTCCTTTGACACAACAATTCTTGGGATTTTACCTATGGGTACTCTCAAAAATATGTGAAATTACCTATGTAATTCAATGTTATGTTTTTGGAATAGCAAAAAAATTAGAAATAAATGTCCATTAATAGAGGACTGCTTAAATAAATTATGAGATAACCATACAATGGATTACCATGCAACCCCCGTCCCCCCCAAAAGAAGTGTTTTATACTCTGTTATGAAAAAATCTCCAAGATACATTGATAGGTGGAAAAAGCAAGGTGTGGAAAAATGTGTATATTGTGGTACATTTTGTATAAAATAAGAGAAATCGATACACAAAAAAGATTTGTATGTATAAAATATCCCTGGCAGCTTGCATACAGATCTAGTAACATTGGTTGCCTCCGGCAAGGGCAACTGGATAGCTGGAGTCAGGGGTAGGAGAGGTAGTTTGTAGTGTACCCTTTTGTCCTATTTATTTATTTATTTATTTATTTTTTGTGAGGAAGATCAGCCCTGAACTAACATCCGTGCTAATCCTCCTCATTTTGCTGAGGAAGACCAGCTCTGAGCTAACATCTATTGCCAGTCCTCCTCCTTTTTTTTTTTCCCCCCCAAAGCCCCAGTAGATAGTTGTATGTCATAGTTGCACATCCTTCTAGTTGCTGTATGTGGGACGCCGCCTCAGCATGGCCAGAGGAGCAGTGCGATGGTGCGTGCCCGGGATCCGAACCTGGGCCGCCAGTAGCAGAGCGTGCGCACTTAACCGCTAAGCCACGGGGCCGGCCCTGTCCTTTTTATTTTTAAAAAATTTTTTATTTTGAAATAATTTAAGACTCACAAGGAGTTGCAAAAAATAGTACAGAGAATTTCCATATGCCCTTCACTCAGTTCCTCAGTGATATCCTACCTAACCATAATACATTGTCAAAGCCAGGAAATTGACGTTAGTATGATACTATTAACTAAACTGTAGACCTTATTTAGATTTCACCACCTTACATGCACACATTTTGTGTGTGTGTGTTACCACATGTAGAGATTTGTGTAATAACCACCACAATCAGGATATGGAACTGTTCTATAATCATAAAGAAATTTCCTGATACTACTCCTTTATAATCAGACCCTACCTCCAACCTTGGCAATCACTGGATCTGTTCTCCATTGCTATAATTTGCCGTTTCAAGAGTGTTATATAAATGGAATTGTATGTACCTTTTGAAATTATTTTTTCCCCCACTCAGTATAAATACCCTTGAAATTCATCCAAATTGTTATGTGTATCAATAGTTCATTCCTTTTGATTTCTGAGTAGTATTTCATGGTATGGATATACCACAGTTTGTTTAACCGTTCACCTATTGTAGGATATTTTGCTTGTTTCCAGTTTGGGAGTATTCTGAATAAAGCTGCTATGAACATTTATGTGCAGGTTTTTGTGTGGACATAAGTTTTCACTTCTCTAGGATAAATGCCAGGAATGCAATTGCTGGGTTGTGTGATAGGTGTATGTTTAACTTTATTGGAAATTGATAAACTCTTTCCATAGTATCTGGGCCATTTTACATTCCCGTCAGCGATATGTAAGAGATCTAGTTGCTTTGTATCCTGCTCCACACTTGGTAATGTCAGGATGGTTAAATTTTAGCCAATTCAATAGGTATGTACTGGCTCTCATTTGCATTTCTCTAATGGCTATTGATATTTAATATCTCATGTGCTTATTTACATCTGTATATCCTCTTTGATGAAATGTCCATTCATGTCTTTTTATATCCATTTTATAATACCCACACTCACTTTATAGTTGGATTGCTTGTTTTTTGTGTGTGGGAGTTGATTTTTTGTGTGTTTTTTACTGTTGAGTTTAAAGAATATCCTTTTGTATTCCAGATATAAGTTCTTTGTGGGGTATGTGTTTTGCAAATATTTCCCAGTCTGTGACTTGTCTTGTCTTTTTCTTAACAGGACGTTTTGCAGAGCAAAAGTTTTTAATTTTGATTAAGTCCAGTTTAATCAACATTTTCTTTTATGGATTGTGCTTTTGATGTCACATGTAAGAACTCTATCCCTAACTCTTAAGTCATGAAGATTGTCTACTGTATTTTCTTCTAAAAGTTTTATAGTTTTGCATTTAAATCAGTGATCCATTTTGAGTTCATTTTTGTGTAAGACATGAGATTTAGATTGAAGTTTTCTTTGTTGTCTATGACGTCCAGTTGTTTCAACACCATTTATTGAAAAGACTATTTTTCCTCCATTGAACTGCGTTTGCACTGTTGTCAAAAAATCAGTTGGGTGAACTTTTTTTAACTGTCTCTGGACTCTCTTCTCTTGCGTTGATGTTTGCGTCTGTCCCTCCTCCAATACCACACTGTCTTGATTACTATAGCTCTATGGTAAGTCTTAAAATTAGGTATTGTGATTCCTGCAGTTTTATTCTTCTTTTCAATATTGTTTTAGCTATTCTGTTTCTTTTGCCTCTTCAAGTAAATTGTAGAATCAGCTTGTCTATATCTATGAGAAAAAGGCTGTTGGGATTTTAGTAGAAATTGTGTTAAACGTATAGATCAATTTGGGAAGAATTGATGTTGAGTCTTCCAATCCATTAATACAGTATGTGTCACCATTTATTAGGTTGCCTTTGATTTCTTTTATCAGCGTTTTATATAAATTTTCAGCATACAGACCCTGTACGTGTTTTGTTAGATTTATACAACAATGGAAATATTTCATTCTCTTTTGGACTGATTTTACATGATATAGCATTTTGAATTTTGCCTTCCATTTGTTCATTGCTAGTATATAGAAACAATTGACTTTTGTGTGTGTTGACCTTATAATCTGTGACCTTGCTTAACTCATTTATTAGTTCCCGGAGCTTTTTTTTTTTTCAAGATTCCTTGGGATTTTCTACATAGACAATCATGTCATCTGCAAATAGGGACAGTTTAATTTCTTCCTTTCCATTTGGTATGCCTTTTATTTCCTTTTCTTGCCATATTGCATTGGCTAAGATTTTAAGTAGTACGTTGAACAGGAGTCATGAGACTGCATTCTCACCTTGGTCCTGATTTTAGGAGTAAAGCACTTCGTTTTTCACCATTAAGTACTATGTGAACTATAGGATTTTTATGTATGCTTTATCAGATTGAAGAATTTCTCTTCTATTCTTAGTTTGCTGAGAGTTTTTAATCTTAAGTGAGTGTGGATTTTGTCAGATGTTTTGCCCACATCAATCAATAAGATTTTGTGGCTTTTCTTCTTTTGATAGTTAATATGGTAGATTACATTGATTGATTTTCTAATATTGAACTAGTGTGGCATAGTTGGAATAAATCTCACTTGGTTGTGCTGTATTATTCTTTTTATATGTTGCTGGGTTCTATTTACTAATAGTTGAGAATTTTTATGTCTGTTTATGAGAGAAATTTGTCTGTGGTTCTCTTAGTTGTACCATCTTTGTCTGGTTTTTGTTTCAAAGTAATGCTGGCTTCATAAAATGGGTTGGGAAATGTTCCTCACTCTTCTATTTTTTGGAAGACATTAGGTAGAATTGATTGTTTTTTCTTCTTTTAAGTGTTTGTTGGAATTCACCAGTGAGGCTATCTGAGCCTGGAGATTTATTTTTCAGGAGGTTTTAGCTATGAATTCAATTTTTTTATTAGTTATAGGACTATTCAGGCTACTTACTTCATCTAGCATGAGTTTTGGTAGTTTGTGATTTTCATGGAATTAGTCTATTTTGTCTAACTTGTAGAATTTCTTTGTGTAGAATTGTTTGTAGTATTCTCTTTATCATTCTTTTAATATCTGTTGGGTCTGTAGTGATGTCTCCTCTTTAATTCCTGATATTGGTAATCTAGGGTTTTGGGGTTTTTTTGTCAGCCTTGCTAGAGGTTTATCAATTTTATTGATTTTTGCAAGGAAGTAACTTTTGGTTGGATTTATTTTCTCTATTTTGTTTTGTTTTAAATGTCATTGATTTCTACTCCCTCTGCTTGCTTTGGGTTTATTTTGCTCTCCTTTTTCTAGTTTGTCGAGGCAGAAACTTAGATTGTTGACTTGAGACCTTTCCTCTTTTCTAATATGAATATTTAGTGCTATAAATTTCCCTCTAAGGACTGCTTTAGCTATGCCCACAGATTTTTATATACTGTATATTTTAATTTATTTCAATTTTATTTCCCTGAGACTTTGTCTTTGACTCGTGTTGTTTACAAGAGTTTTGTTTAATTTCCAAATGTTTTGTTCTTCTCATGTTATCTTTCTGTTATTTATTTCTAGTTAGAGTCCATTCTAGTCAGAGAAAATACTCTATATGATTTCACTTCTCTTAAACTTGTGAAGGTTTGTTTTATATTCCAGGATATCGTCTATCGTTATGAATGCTCCATATATTCTTGAAAGAATGTATATTCTGTTTTTGTTTTAGTGGAGCGTTTTATAAATTCCAATTAGATCTTATTGGTTGATGGTGTTGTTTAGTTCTTCTGTATCCTGGCTGATTTTTGTCTAGTGATTCTATCAATTACTGAGAGAGGGGTGTTGAAGTTCCCAACTATAATTGTAGATTTGTTTCTTTCTCCTCTCAGTTCTGTCAATTTTTGCTTTGTGTGTTTTGAAATTCTGTCGTTTAGTGCATACACATTTATCATTGCTTTGTCTTCTTGGTGGATTGTCCCTTTTATCATAATGTAACATCCCTGGTAATTTTCTTTGCTCTAAGGTCTACTTTGTCTAAATGTTTATTGAACAACTAAATGTTCTATAGCAGAATAACTAGTTTATAAAGCAGGTCCGTATGTAAGTTTGAACATATAGAGTGGATGAATGTTTGTTTTAGGATGTTTTACATATATAAATGTACATTTTTTTCCCTGTGTAAAGGGTATTGAGCATATATATAAATCCATTTCATGTAGCTAACATGTAAGTGACAGAATTTGACCACGTTTTGACAGATAATCTCAGAATTAATATTACCCTAGTTTAAAAGGTAATGTTTTAATTTGAATATCGTTTTTTATAATTTTGTGCAGCATAATGTGGATGCAGAAACTAATGGCATGAAAAACTTTCACATATTCATCACTTGTTTTTGCTAATTATAATTTCAAAAATATTTGATTAGAGTTAGATGGCAGAATGCAAAACCTATCTTTTATATTTTAGAATAAAATCAAAAATTAGGAAAAAAACCCTTTTGTTTATCAATTGTAGTAAAACTTGCTATATAAAATAGTTTCTTCAGCTGCATGTATTTCAGGGATTCATATTGTGCAGTGCTTTCTCTAGATGTTTAATTTTTTTTTTCAGTTTGTTCAGAGAACCAGCTCAGTTGGACTCTACCGATTAAACCATGGGTTTTCAGTGAATACAAAATCATGTGGTTTAAATCCTGTAGAATGACTTTTGCCTGCTTGAATAGAATGAAAAGTTACAGGTAAGTTTATTCCCTACTGTGGCAAATATTTACATAATTATGTGCAATAATAGTTTAGTATTGATTGTGCTTAATAAACCCTGTCAGTATGTAATAGCTCATGTGGTTTGATTACAGTAGTTTTTATTTATTTACATATTCTTTTTCCAACAACTTTTAAATTTGGAAAATTTCAAACCCACAGAAAGGTTGTAATACAGTGTACATACAGTGCATACCCATCATCCATATTCAGAGATAGTTTTTATTTTAATATAAGACTATATTACTTGGAGAACTACTTTTTACTTCCTCATAATATCCTTATGATAGGAGACAAATAATGCCGTGCTTAAAATTGTAAATGATTTGGGTGCAACATAAATGTGATAAGGTGCATAAGTATACATTCTAGGGAGTAAGAGTGAATCAAAGTAATGTCTTTCTGTGTTTGTGTTTTATAAATTAATTTTTAACCTTGTGAAAAATATTGCATAGAGTTAAGGTTTGAGCTCTGTTTTCCAAGTGCGTGCTTCTACTTCTTATAAAGCTCCTTTCAGATTGGGTGTATGTGAAATCACTCTTAGTCAACTGAGCAAGCACCTACTGTCATCTATTGTAAGTTAATCTTTGATTACTGAGACTTTGCGTGAAGCATGGAAAAGGAGGGTAATATTCATAAGATAATATTAAAGAAGAGTGACATTTAACTCTTAAAAGGATAATAAGTAATCAATATAGAATGTACTCTATGTAGCTAAGAAAAACATAGTAAAAATATGAATGGCATTACCTATTCTAAAGTAACAACCTTATTTTCTTTTACCTGAGAACCTTTAGAGGATTTTCCTACCATGTACTTTGACATGGAACTTGGTGTAGTGTCTGTCTGATCTCTGTTTACTCCCTGTTTGATCCCATTTGATGTAAAAAAATTTTTTTAGGTGAATTATATACTTTTCTGGGGCTTCTCCTTCAGATTATTCATTTGACAAATGTTTCCTGAGCACCAACTGTGTTCCAGGAACTGTGCTAGTCGCTAGGCATGAAATGGTAAGCGAGACAGTCCATTCCCTGCTCCCATAGTGCTTATGTGCTAGTAAGGAGACATGATCAAATGATCACGTAGCCCCATGAAGAAGTACAAAGTTGTATAGGAGTTAAAATAGGGAAATATGGCTCAGTTTTGAGAGTCAGGAAAGACTTCTTGGGTGACATTCCATGTAAACCTAACATCTGAAGGATGAAACGGAATTAATTAGGTGTGTAGAGGAGGGAAGGGAGAATGAGAGAAGAATATTCTAGGTAGAGGGAACAATGTATACAAAGTATCTGAGGAAGGAGCAAGCATGGTTAGTTCAAAGAACTGAAGGAAGGCCCGTGTGGAGGGGGAGGTGAGTAGTGGAAAGTGAATTTGGAGAGGGAAGAGATTGGGGACCGAATAATTCAGAGCATTGTAGGCTGTGCTAAGGATTTTAGTCTTTTTCCTTATGTCACTGGGAAGCCAGGGAAGCATTTTAAGTGAGAAAATAACGTGATCATATTTGTATTTCAGAACAATCACTCTGGATGCATTGTGGAGAACAGATTGGAGGGGAATGAGATAGGAAGCAGGCAGACTAATTAGAAGGCTAGGACATAGTTCAAGCAAGAGATGATGGGAGCTTGGACTAGAGTGATAGCAATAGAAATGGAGAGAAGAAGATGGAGGCACCTGGGTTCAAATCCTGGCTCCACCACTTACTTAATCTTCCTGAACCTACCTTTTCTTATCTGTGGAACAGGGGTGATAATAATACCTATCTTCTAGAGTTGCCGGGAAGATTAAATGAGATGACATATGACATATGTGGAGTTCTTAAACAGTACCTGCCATTTGCTAAATGCGCAATAAATGGTTCCTACTACTACTATGCCTGTTATTATTAGATGTGACCCAGAAGGCCAAGTTTTATAAAGTTTTTCATTGTAACTTACTTCAAAAGCAAATTAATTTTGTTTCATCTGTGAATATGTATATATATATTTATAAGCAGTGTGATTATAAGAAAACTTGGTTTTGAAGCATCAAAAGTGAGCAATACAAATATTTAGAATCTAGTAAATCGTAAATGAAATATCTTTCTACATAATATATCCCATGTTACATTTTTTAAAGTGGCAGTTTTTGCCTGGTTCTTCATTTTGACCTCGTAGGTACCCTTGGACAAGACCGTACAGCACTTCTGGAACCACTGTAGACAGCAGTGAGGTAAAAACCTTCCTGGCCCTGGCTCACAGGTGGTGGGATGAGCAAGGAGTGTATGCGCCTCTTCATTCTATGAACGACCTGAGGGTACCATTTATTAGGTAACATTCCAGAAATTCTAAGTCTTTTAAGGTGCAACTCTTCAATAATTTGTCTTTTTTTGAGTTCACTTTTCTCTTGGTTTATACCTAGGTTCAAAATGCTGCATTTTAAGTTTGCTTTAGAAATTGGGAAGATTCTTTTCGATGTCCATTGTTTGAAACCATTAATTTTTTAATATCACCTAATTTCTAGGCTGCTTTCATAAATTAACTTGAAGCATTCCAAATAGCTTAATTGTAATTAAATCCTTATGAAAAGGAACTAGGGTCGTATGGCATCAAGGTCGATTTATAGCGACTTTGACCTTTAGGCAGTTCTAATAAGGGGAATACTACTGAGACGGTTCAATTCAACAAATATTTATGAAAACTTACCCTGTACAGAGCTTGTGGGCTAGACTCTATGAAAGCTACTAAGATATTCATCATTCGAAACACAGTCCATGTACCTCAGAGACTTACAGTTTGCTGTGGGAGATAAACGCAAAGGTTCATCCGACTCCATTTATCAAGAAATTGCTCATTCGTTCTTCTGTCCATTTATTTATTTATTCATTAAACATTTTTGAGCAGCCGATATGGGCAAGACACTGTAATAGACACAGAATATCAGACTCAGACTGCCCTTAAGGAACTTTCTGATTGGTTTTTGCTGGTTCATCCAGAATTAATGCAGCAAAAGGAAATATTGTCACCTTTTTATTACCACTGAATTAGTGGATCTCTGAAACACTATGGCAGAGAAAAGCAGAAATGTCATTCTATTAGGCTAGATCAGTGGTTCTCAAGATGTGTGCCCTGGACTAGCAACATCAGGATCACCTGGGAACTCATTAGAAATGCAAAATTCTCAGATCTCACCCTAGACCTCCTACTTTGGGGGGTCAGCAGCCTGTGGTTTAACAAACCTTACAGATGATTCAGATTCACACTCAGCTTGAGAACTATTCTATTCAAACTACTGTGACACCATTATTTAGACATCACACTAAAATGGATCACCCAGGGCAATACAAGTTATGGTTAGAAGTGTAGATTTTCTTCTGAGCATAATTGGAAGCCATAGCAGGGCAGTGATATGATCTAAATTATGATTTAAAGGAGTCATTTTGGCCGATGTGTGGAGAATGGATTGGACTTCATTTGAAATGAGTCCTTTCTGTATATTATAACATTCTAAAGTTATCTACTTAACCACTGTCTAGGTTATTCTTAGAAGTCAATTAATTTTAATAGCAATAAAAGATATCCTAAGATAGCCTTATTATATATAACATTTATTTTAATATAAAGTATAATTAAAATTCATATAGTCCAGTTTAAAAGTTTAGTTTGCAACACTGTTAGGTATATATCAGTGTGTGTCTATGTTTGTATGTATGTGTGTGCTTATGTTTGCTTATGTAGTTAAGTATTACTATGATTATCTTAGAATTAAGTTTACATGATTTGAATGCCTGTTTACATGATCATGAAAACACCACTAAGAAGATTAAAAGAGACTTAATTTAGGAAGGAATATAGGCAAATTCTGAAAATATGGATCTCCAATCTGCTTCTTCTAAGCCCTACAAAATAACCTATCTATTGCTGACATGAAATGGGTCTAGCAAGTACTAACAAAGTAGCTAATAGATGTCTCAGGTGCATGATATCTCAAGCAAATAAAATTAGGTTAATCTAAGGTTATTTTTAAAGTTTTTCTTTAGATTATTACTAAAGTAATAATTAAGTCAAAATTATTACTAGATTATTTCAAGAGCTTTACTTTAAGCGTCCTGCTTTTGACTATTTAAAGTATCTTATAAATTAAACATAATATAGTAAGTCATTAATGCTGAAAATACCCAAAAAATCAATCATCCATTTAAAATGAGAGTTTAATATTTCCTTGAAAATTGTATACTTTTAAGACTTTATTGATAAAATTAATAATTTGTTCTTATATGTTTTGAATTTTTTTTAAAAGAGACAATCTTTTAAAAACAGTTGCTAATCACCAGCCAGGAAAACCTTTGTCTGGGATGAAGATTCTTGATGTTGGCTGTGGTGGTGGATTGTTAACTGAAGTAAGTGATTTACAACTTTGCTGCCGTTTTTTTTTTTTTTTTTTTTTTTTTTTTTTTGTGAGGAAGATCAGCCCTGAGCTAACATCCATGCTAATCCTCCTCTTTTTGCTGAGGAAGACTGGCTCTGAGCTAACATCTATTGCCAGTCCTCCTCGTTTTTTTCCCCAAAGCCCCAGTAGATAGTTGTATGTCATAGTTGCACATGCTTCTAGTTGCTGTATGTGGGACGTGGCCTCAGCATGGCTGGAGAAGTGGTGCGTCGGTGCGTGCCCGGGATCGAACCCGGGGCTGCCAGTAGCAGAGCGAGGGCACTTAACTGCTAAGCCACGGGGCTGGCCCTTTCCTGCCGTTTTTAAATAACTGGAAAAAAAAATTGAGAAGTGAGCTTATGCTCATTTGTCCTTTTATCAAATAGTATTGTTCATTAAAAAAAGAAATGCGGGGCCGGCTCCGTGGCTTAGCGGTTAAGTGCGCGCGCTCTGATGCTGGCGGCCTGGGTTCGGATCCCGGGCGCGCCCCGAGGCACCACTTCTCCGTCCAACGTGAGGCCGAGTCCCACGTACAGCAACTAGAAGGTTGTGAACCTATGACATACAACTATCTACTGGGGCTTTGGGGGGAAAAACTGAATAAATAAAATCTTTAAAAAAAAAAAAAGAAATGCGTAATGTTTTTAATATTTTTCTGATTATAAAAGTAATACATACTTTTTGCTTTCTTAAAAATATATACACAAAAATGTCAGAAAATTATAGTGAGGGATTTTTTTCTTTAACGTAGATATGGGGCACTGGTTATTCGAATAGCTTTGAAAAATTTGTTGTCTCTTCTATCCCAAGGGATTAGGCAGTTTCCACTGGTTTAAATGCAATGATAAGCTGTCCTCTTGCACTTGCTTCAATATCAAAACCTAACCGAGTTTTGCCTGCTTGGGGGCTCTCCCCTTCTTAAGTGCTTCAGAGTACTTGGAAGAATGCTCATTCTACCTGTGAAGAACATTTGCTTTAGCTTATAGTAAATTTATGCCCTGCAGCTCTCTTTTGTATTCTTTTGTCAACACAATAACTTTTTGTTTCAGTGCTGCATCATGATCTGATCTTTGAAAGATATATTTTTTTTAATTTTATTTATTTATTTTTCCCCCAAAGCCCCAGTAGATAGTTGTATGTCATAGTTGCACATCCTTCTAGTTGCTGTATGTGGGATGCGGCCTCAGCATGGCCGGAGAAGCAGTGCATCGGTGCGCGCCCGGGATCCGAACCCGGGCCACCAGCAGCGGAGCGCGCGCACTTAACCGCTAAGCCACGGGGCCGGCCCAGAAAGATATTTTAAGCAATAGTATAGGAAACAAATGTGAGCTAAGGTTCAATGGGATGTGGTACCGTCAAGGTCCGTAACAGCCACGTTGACAGTGAGGCTAACAGATGCCTTTGATGCATAGCTAAGTTTCCAGATGCACAGAAAACGTGTTCTTCATATGGTGATGGGCTGGTTTCTTTTTCTTTTTTTTTTTTTTTTTTGGTGAGGACGATTGGCACTGAGCTAACATCCATTGCCAATCTTCCTCTTTTTGCTGAGGAAGACTAGCCCTGAGCTAACATCTGTACCCATCTTCTTCTATTTTGTATATGGGATGCCACCACAGCATGGCTTGATGAGCAGTGCGTATGTCCCACCCGGGGTTCCGAACCTGCGAACCCCCAGCCGCCGAAGCACGAACTTAACCACTATGCCACCGGGCTGGCCCCTGGGCTGGTTTCTTTTGACATCAACAGTTATGAAAAAACATCACTTGGAATCAAGAATATGTAGTGTATCAAATTGTCAATATGCACGGTTTTACTATACGTGTTCTACAGTCTTCTCAGTGTATTATTACAGATCTTATATCACTAAAGATAAAATAATTTGATTTATACTTTTAACTTATTGACTAAAGAGTTATAAAATAAATACTATGCAAGTTTTGGTCAAAGTTAAGCCTGTGTTAAAAACTTGGGCATGTCTTGGGAAGTGATTGAATATAAACGTTGAAAGAAGAATCAGCTGTGAAGAATCATTTCCAATCACAGAAAAAACTAAGAAAAAATCGTTCTTTAGAAAATTTGAATGTCAGTAATTTTTGCTGTTTTTACAATGACGTTACATTTATTGCACTTTAAATGTTAATACTATACTACGTGCATGTAAATATATCCAGAGAATATAAACAAAATTTTTTTCACTATTCTCAAGTAGTTCTTGATACATTTTTTGCTGTTGTGATTATTGTTCTCACTTTTAAGTTTTTTATTATAGAAATTTTCACATGTGTACAAACTAGAGAAAATGGTACAATGAACTTCCATGTACCCGTAAATGATCCCCAATAATCGTCCCCTCGTGGTTAATCTTGTTTCCTTTTTGATAAGCTTTTGATTGCTAACATGTGTTCTGTTTTCTTCCTGAGGGTAACGGTTTTTTATGCCATTAGCCTCTAGGGCGGCTTGGGGCTTCAGTTATTGGAATCGATCCTGTGGATGAGAACATTAAAACAGCACAGCGCCATAAATCATTCGATCCAGTCCTGGATAAGAGGATAGAGTACAGAGCATGTTCCCTGGAAGAGATTGTGGAAGAGACTGCAGAAACATTTGATGCTGTCGTAGCTTCCGAAGTTGTAGAACATGTGATTGATCTAGAAACATTTGTACAGTGCTGCTTTCAAGTGTTGAAAGTAAGACTCGTGGAGTTTACTTTTTTGTTTTTTCTTTTGAGTGTGTGTATATATCCGTAACAATAAGTGTTTCATAATACTGAAACCAGGAAGCCAGGATTAGGGGACAGCATCTCTGCTGGAGATTACTTCTGCCTCTCAGCTTGCCTTCAATACTGGAGTTTTCCAGATCTAGTATCTTGATATCTTGAAAAATGTTGGTGCTGAACATTATAATACAAACAATAGATTTATAGCAGTATTTTTACATTGGTATAGACTGGATTACATACCTAATAGACGCTGAATGACAATTACTAAGAAATTGATTTGGATTAATACTTAAAAATCAATACTTAGCATTTGTTAAGTAACTCTGTATGTGATATGTATAACAGTTTACAGCTGATAAAAGAATACTTCATACATATGATCTCACTTGATATTACCTACAACCAGGTGAGGAAGGTAAGGCAGGCATTGTTATGACTTCCTTTGACCCAATGAAAATCAGAATTTGAGAGATGTGAAAAGTCACTTGGTCTTTAAGTCAAAGGTCACTAGGCACGTAAGTGTTGGCTTAAGGCTACATCTTTTGATTCCAAGTCTGGTTCTTCCCATTACATTATTATGCGTATATAGTTTGCCACAGACTTAGTCCTCTGAAGGTGGTTCCAAATTTTCTTGTAATAAATAGCCCTAGAGTATTATTATTATTGTTACTATATGGATTCTGCTATTTATGTATTCAAGACATAACACCCTAAGGTCAAGAGCTAAAAGAATGAAATGCTTAGCCTTACCTAAAGAGAGCTTTTTAAAAATACTCTTAAAAAAATCATTTTAGATTTACAGAAGAGTTGCAAAGATAGTATAGAGTGTTCCCAAATATATAGCCTTCGCTCAGTTTCCCCTACTGTTAACGTTTTATAGAATAAGGGTAGGAACTGGGGTGAGGTAAGTGAGGCACTTAGGGCACAAAATTGAAGGAGGCCCTCTGTCTTCGGAGCCCACGCTGCGTCTGCACATGCGGGAGAGTGCGAGTGACATAGCCCCGTATGTAACCCATGGTACCTTCCGCGAAACTAAGAAATTAACGTTGACTTTATACTATTAACTACACTGCAGACCTTGTTAAATTCCATTAGTTTTTCCACTAATGTCATTTTTCCGTTGCAGGATCCAATCCAGGATCCTATGTTGCATCTAGTTGCCATGTCTCCTTAGTCTCCTTCAGTCTGTAACAGTTTCATGGTGTTGCCCCTTAAATCAATTTTGTTAGGCTTGTCTCCTATTTTCCAAGCAAAACTCCTTAATTATTACTTTTTGTGTTGTGTGTCAGTCAGTATGTGTGAATGGAGGATCTTTCACGCATATGATGAATGCTGGCATTGTAGAATTTAAAACTAATTTTTGCTTTAATGGAGAGCCTATTTTTAAAAAATAAATGACCATTGCTCACCACTATTTTCTTAGAGTAAGGTTTTGTAGAACACAGATTAGATATTCACAGGTGATTTTTTTCCCTCAGTTCTATTGAGATATAATTGACACATAAGTGATTCTTAATAAGATATTTTAGAATACTAGAGTTTTACAGAGAAAAGTTACAATGTGTGATGAAGTAGTGTCTGATATTTCAGTTTTTAATTTCAGGGCACATTCCAGTATTTCAGGACCCCGCTTATCTTTTTTATTTTTGGTTTGGGATGGTATTTGAGGTTATTCATCTTTCTCTTTCTATGTATATATGTGTATATATATGATTATTTTAGAGGGAATCTTTGGCATTTTATCCCCATCAGGCTACTGAGAATGTGTAAAAGTGGGAGGAGAATTAATGTCCTTGCCATTTGTGGGAATAAATATAGGAAACACCATAATTACTAAAAAATGGCAGACTAAATAGTCCTATTTTTTGCATTCATCTAAGTGCTTATCTTGATCTCTTCATATTCTTTATACTAATGAAATCAAAACAAAACAAAAAACGTTCAAACCTTAATCATTAGTGTTTTTGTCAGGGGATACTTATTGGCATTGCTCGCCTGCACAAGATGGGAGCTGTGGGCTGTACTAAACAAGGTAGACAGGCTCAGCCCCCAAAGAGGAAACAGCGTTGACACATGTGAGAACGTAAGTGTGACATGGAGCAAGGAAGAGCAGCCCGATCTCATTTCTATATTTTTATTATACAGTATTTGATATGTACAGAAGAATGTATATAATATAAATATAATCACAGTAATGTGTGATTTAAGAGTTGTAAGCACTGTTGCATAAACTCAATGAGTGCATCTGTAGCAGACTGCCTTTAATAATGAATTTCCCAAAAGAAAAAATACTATTTTGGTCAACTATATTTTATTCATACTTATATATCTTAATTGCACTTAAACTATTTGAAGAAAGGAGGAGGGTGGGGGAAGCCAAGCCTTTACCTAACTGATACTCCTGACATTTAAAATTTTACTTCTATACATGTTGTTTTTAGCCCAGTGGTTCTTTATTCATTACTACAATCAACAAGACCCAGCTGTCTTATGCCTTGGGAATTGTTTTTGCAGAGCAAATTGCAGGTATTGTACCAAAAGGTACTCATACATGGGAGAAGTTTGTTTCACCCGAAAAGCTAGAGAGCATTCTGGAATCAAGTAAGTATTAAGAATTTTTTGAATTTTCAAGGCCTAACTGAATTTTTAATGTACCTATAACTATTAATCACACAACCTAGCACTTAATTAAGTAGGCTGCTATTCTTTGGATGTTGGTTCCGTCTTCTTAACTAGATCATAAACTCCTTGAAGTTAGGAGTAAGTATTAGACACCACTTCTCTCTCACCTGTGGCACCTAACCCAAGGCCAAGCAAATCACAGATGATCAGTGAGTACTTTGGGCTGTTTAGTCTTCTTTGGTTAAGGATGAGGAACAAATGTCTATTACTGACACATCCTCAGTTTGTCCTATTGAGGCCGTGCTTGTATCAGCTTATCTTATATATTATTTTTCCCTATTCCTCCGTACTTGGATATATTTTGAACTTCCTTGTCACTTTTTATGTATTTTATGCTAGTTATAGCATGCCTTTTATTATGGTTATTTTGGTGTTTCGAAGCCCCTTTCTGTATTCCTGTTGAGTACTTAGACTCATGTATGTCTTATGCTTTTTGTTCATGTAACAGTATATCAGTAAACTTGATTTTACTTGGAATATTATCAGTCCAAGGCAATATAGTAAGTTCTAAAGGGTTCTGCAAGTAACCTTGTTGAAAATAGAGTAGAAAAAATATTTTAAAGATGCTTTATAGGAACAATCACTTGTTGGCAGGTATGTGCTAGTACAGCTAACATTGATTGAGTACTTACCAGATTTCAAACACTGCTACTTTCCACACATACCTCATCTAATTCTAACAACTCTATGACATATGTTCTGTACGTATGAGAAAACTGAGATTCAGAAAGGTTAAGTGATGCCCAGGGTCACCGTCTAATAGGTGCCAGAGCTGGGATCTGAACCCAAGCAGTCTGCTTTAGAGTTTAGGTTCTATGCTGCACTAAAAAAATGATCTATACGTGGTTACAAAGTAATTTTGCCTATTGAGTTAGGAATGCTTCTTTAATATGGAGAGTTGCATGAGACTCTTGGCACTTGGAAGGTAACTATTTATTAAATCTACTTTTTCTGATTTTTTTGTGTTCAGATGGTCTGTCAGTTCAGACTGTGGCAGGAATGCTCTACAACCCTTTCTCAGGGTACTGGCATTGGAGTGAAAATACCAGCCTTAACTATGCAGCTTATGCTGTGAAGTCCGGGGTTCAGGAACACCAGGTGCCAGCTGAGTTTGTTTTAAAGGAGGAAGCAGAAGAGCTCCAAGCCACAGCCTCTACCAACCCAGCTGTGCATGAAGAGCTGAAGAAATGAATTGTTTCTAGAGACTGTAGTAATATGGCTTGAAAGTCTGATGTTTACAAATACAAAGAATATATAATTTGTCTTTGGAGAGAGGATCATGAAGAAAAGAGAGTCAATAAAAAGGGCTAAGACCTTGGATAAAAGTTTTGTTGTTTTATCTAATAGCCACTTTCAAGGGATTATTCTATGGATTAAAAAGGTTTGTCAAGGTATTGTGTGATCTAGGAGTTTAAGTTCCTCAGCCTTAGTTTATATAAATAGGGTGTGCATATTTCACTTCATCTTACATATATGTGTATGGTATAATATGATTTACAGCAATCTGTATCATCTATGTTCTTGATTTGGTTTTAGTTAAAGGCAGTTATGCTTCTGACTGATGAAAACCAAATATAGTTTTATACCACTTATACTTGGGAAGATAAAACACATTTTTTTCTTTTAAATTTTAGTTTGTTGGAAAGCAAATGGAATGTTAAATATATACTGGATTTGGATTCAAACATTAAAATCAAGAAGTTCAGATGATGTTGGACATTCTTCTCTATATAGTCCCATAAATGTTTTATAGGTTTTTTTTCAAGTAGAAAGGATTTTTTAAACTCAATTTTAAAATTCAGTTATGGAAATTTTCAGATAACATGTTTATAATTGAAGGGACTGACTTGATATATTTTTATGCCTCTTGAAGTATGTGAGTCTCTGGCTTTTTCTGAAAGCCCAGATGCTGTGTAAGAAACATAGAGGGTGTTGACCATGTGTGACACGCAGGAACATAGAGGGTATTGACCACGTGTGACACGCGGAAACATAGAGGGTGTTGACCACGTGTGACACACGGGAACATAGAAGGTGTTGACCACGTGTGACACGCGGGAACATAGAGGGTGTTGACCACGTGTGACACGCGGGAACATAGAGGGTGTTGACCACGTGTGACACGCGGGAACATAGAGGGTGTTGACCACATGTGACACGCGGGAACATAGAGGGTGTTGACCACGTGTGACACACATGAATTGAATGCACGTGACTGTGTAGGAGGTCAGCTTTCTGGCCTTTTTCATGTTTAAGCTCACATGTGTTCTGTATTCCTTTGTCAGTGTCTATTAGATTGTGCTCCTCAGGCAAACACTTCCATCTTAGCTTATGATTTGCTTATTCTCAGTGGCATTTCAGGGGAGCAAACTGAAATTTAAAGAATTAAAAGACAAATTTTAACATCAGTTGCTAATACCTAATTAGGGGGCTAAAAATCAGGAGCTCCTATTGGCTTCCATTTAAAAATTTGATTCTTAGTCTAAATTCTAAATCAAAACAAAGCCTCCTCATTCTATCTGTTGGAAACAAAAGTGTTGGTATTAAAAATTAATCTAAGAATTGATTAAAATGCAGTCCCCCAAAGTGCATTTATTTGAGAAAGAAAGCTCTAACTTTCAGTTATTAAAAATATACATTAAGTGCTGGAAATTCAGAATAATTCAGTAATAGCTACTTCTGTGCTTTACTTGACTTACTATGGAATGAAGAGATGAAAATTCGTGCCTCTGTGTATAATCTAATTTGATCTTTCAGGACAATTTCAACAAAATTCCAGGGGAAATAGGCTCAAAAAGACACTACAGATTTTTTTAATGTGTGTATGTACAGTGAAGATCGCCCAGCTGAACATTTTTAATTTTGAGAACTACCTACTTTTGAAAAGCAGTAATCTAGCAATTCGGGTTATGGTGGGGGGCTTAATCCGCAAACCTTCTCTCAGGAACTCTGGGTCCATGAGAGGCCCCTGCAAGAAATAATGATGGAGAGAGATTTTCCGGCTGATAGTCCAGCAAAAGAGATTGTAGACCTGTCTTAGAAAGAAAAAGAACAAGGCTGGAGCAAGCAAGACGGTGAATTTGCTTGGGATCTTAGTTTAGGGTAAGAGGAAAAACTGTGGGAAGTTGAGCAATGTCCTGGACCACCTAGTCCTCATGAAGGGAGTCAGATTGCTCAGTGGGGCTATAATTATAAAAACTGCTGGACCATGTAAGGTTGGTTAAAAGGGCTATGAGCACTGGGAGAGCAAAACTTTCAGCACTTAGAAGTAGCAAAGTATGATGGTAGGAAGGGTCACATGGCAAGGCAGATCATAACAAGAGAGAAGTCACGTGGTGTAGCTTTTTCCAAAACTTCCGTAAGGAACAATGGGACCCAGCACCCAGCACATACACACAAAACTCCGTGGATCCTGGAGGAGCCTCCTGGAAGCAAGATTCCAAAAACCAGCCTGGTTAGGAGACTAGAATAAAAAACAATCATGGTTTTTACTGAAGCTTTGATTTTTCCCAAAGTTGCTATGTTCTGGGGAAAATAAGTGTTAAGCAGGTATATAAAACATTACTATATTCGTGTGTTCTTTATTTTTCCTAAAGACATAACATCACAAAAAATTTTCTTTAATTCTTTTATTTTACATCTAGAAATTTGCACGAGGCACTAGAAATGTCACATTGTCTATTCCCTAAATCATGCCTAAGTGCTCCCAAATGAAAATGTCAAAATTGTTGCAACTGTGATCTTAGGAAACTTCCCATTTTTTGATGATCATGTTTGGGTTTGGAGAGCAGAGGTGCCATCTGAATACTAAGGTTGAACATTTTGTTTATGATTTGTTAACAGAGTCTTTTTGTAGATAAGCTTCAGACTCCACAAAGAATCATTCTTTGTAATTGTATTGCTTTAGGGAATTTGTTAAAGGTGTTCCCATTGTTCCAGGCGATTCCACAATGGATAATTGGAAAGCTTATAGAATAAAGTGTGTCCTCTCTTTCCCCTCCCTAACACAGCCAAACGCGTCACAAGAATTGTCCCCATTTTCTCACTCTCTTACTTCTCAACTCACTGTAGTCTGCCTCCATCATTGTTTTGTTTTGTTGAAACAGTTCTCACCGAAGTCACAAATGACCGGGTGACTATACCCCAAGACCATTTTCAGCTCTTACCTTACTCATTTGACATTGTTAATTACCTGCCTCCCTTAAACTTTCTGCTCCATTTCCATGACCTCACCCTCTCTGACTAGCTGCTCCTGGTCAGTCTAAATTCCCTCTTCCTGCTCTACCCACCCACTTGTTGACTCTAGTTGGTTGGTCCCTTATACCCGCACTTTCATAGTCTCATATAAATAAATTTTCCTCAAGTTATCTTATTCTGGGCGTGCCATCTGTTTCCTGTTGGGACCGTCAGATAAACTGACCCACATCCAACCTCTTCTTAAAACCCTTTAATGATTTCTCATTGCTCCTAAGATAGAAGGCCTAAATCCCTTAACATGGCTACGGAGTCCTGACACGATCTGGCCCTGCCTACTTCTCAAGCCTCGTTTGTTTTTTTGACAAGTATGTTGGATTTTAATAACAGAACAGTTCAATACAGGTCTTTTGCATCATTTTAAACTTGACATTTTAAAATAATTTCAGACTTACAAAAGTAGTAATACAGAAGTAATCCAACGGGTTTCCACATAGCTTCACTCTGCTTCGCCAAATATTAACATCTTTAACCACAATACAATGATAAACACCAGAAAATGAACTTTGATACAACACTGTTATCTAATCTACAAACTTTATTTAAATTTTGTTAATTGTCCCACTGATATCTTTTTTTGGAAACAAGATCCCACACTGCATTAAATTGTCATGTCTCCTTTTTAATTTGGGACAGTTCCTTAGTCTGTCATTCATGACTTTGACACTTGAAGATCACTGGACATTTGTTTAGAATGTACATCAACTTTTTTTTTTCTGATATTTCTTCACAATTAAATTCAGGTAATGCGTTTTTGGCAAGAATACCACAGAAGTGATGTGTCCTTCACAGTGCGTCCTGTCAGGAGACACGTGATGTCAATATGTCTTGTTACTGGTGATGTTAAGTTTGGTCACTTGGCTAAGGTGGTGTCTGCCAGATTTCTTCATTGTAAAGTTACTATTTTTTCCATTTGTAATAAATAAGTTTCTTGTAGAGAGATACTCTGAGAATATGTAAATACCCTGTTTTTCATCATATTTTTGCCCTCTAGTTTTATCATCCATTGATTCTTGCTTGAAACAATTACAACTGCAGTGTTTGTCTAGTGGTGATTTACAGCTTTCTCTGTACACTTATTAATGGAATTCTACTAAAAGGAAGAGCTGTCCCTTCTCTACCATTTATTTATGTATTTGTTTATTTATTTGTTTATGTATATCAATGTGAACTCATGGATGTTATCTTCTATGGGATATAATGCATTGCTATCATTTTTGTAATTCAGATTGTCTCGGATTTGGCCATTGGGAACCCCTCTTGTTTCCTTTCATGTCTGTATAATTTTTTGAGTACTTCTTACTTTCTGGCACCACAAGGTGCTCCAGGCTCATCACTTATTTGTCCTGATCCAGCCCTGGAATTCAAGGAGCCTCAATTCCTGTTACTGGAGAATGGTGTTTAGAAACCAAAATCTGATCACTAAGTATCCTCTTAACTACCAGGGTGTCATTGCTTCTAGGACCTCTCAGCAGATAGAGTTAGGAACTATATGAATGCATACACATATACACATCTATATTTCTGTGTGTGTGTGTGTGTGTGTGTGTATGTGTGTAACCATGAATTCATACTGATACCTCTCATTCCAATCCAACATCACAGCTTTTATTCCAGCATTCCTCCTTCCTTTATTTGTAAATCCTTTCCCTGACAATGAGAAACCTGGCTCTCACTATCCACAATATATTTACTTATTTGCTCAATCCTAGAATACTCATAAAGTAGTTTCACAATTGCTAACCCATACCCCTATGAGAAACAAATTTACTTTAGCCTTAGCATATATGGTTAAAATACTATTTTCCAAAGTTATATTAGGTCAGTTCTTTTCTTCCCCATCCACTTCAGTCTGATTATATTATTCATTTGTAATACAGTCAGGTTCATATGTTACTGTTGGCATTTCTTTTTGGGTTCTCCCTTCCCCACATCCTGGCTAAATTAAATTATTTATTTTTGAAGTATGTGCCACTAACATGGTTCTAAAAATCAGAACTATACAAAAAGTTATACTCAGAGACATGTCACTCCACATACCCCTTCTATTCTCTTCTCATATCCCCCATTCTCTCCACTCCTC